CACTTATCTCCTTAAAGATGCTGCCAAGCTGCAATAACTCAAAGAGAGGCAAGAGACCCATAAGCACTCATGACTTTTCTGATCACTTTTGAGTAACAGACATTTCTGTGGTCTCTTTCCCACACAAACACTCTCAATTCAGAAAATAGAAGGTCCAGTCTTGTGTGATAATCAAAAACATGAAGTTTATTTATATTTAAAGTTATTATAATCTTTTCTCTACTACTAGGGAAGCTTAAGGTCCTGAAAGGGAGGCATAGTACTTTTCTTCTTTACCATCTTACGCTTCCACTCCTCCTCCCCACCACACTGAGGCCTTCAGGAAGGCCAGGAAGGGACTAGGAGGAAGGAAAGGAAAGAGAGGTAAGAAAGGTGAGGGAGGGAGAGAAGAAAAGGGGAAAATCTTACTTAATTGGTTTGGTCATAATGTGTCTTCCAGGTCTCTGGGCCTGTTTTGGCAGATGCTTATGAATGTTTTTGCAGATACTTCAGAGGCCTAAAAACAACAGTAGCCTCTCCCTTTAGTTCACTTGACTCAGGAGAATAGACTCTATTCTTGCAGACACTTCCTCTGCAGCCACTCCTCATGCTGGAGTCCCATCATGCCTTTCCACGGTCCTATTGGACAGGATCTAATATGACCCTCACATCGGGTCTCTCACTTGTGTGGTTCATGTATGGCCCACAGGAAGTCTTTACACATCCTCTCTCCTTCACAGCTAACCAGCCCGAACCTCATCCTTAAATTTCCCAGGCAGGGAGCAGGTGGACAATACTTCCACTGTGCCCCCTAAGTGCTCTCCAGACAGTCTCATTGAGCCCTTCTTTCTAGGCTAGAGGTGAGAACCAGACCTTCTGACCCGTTTCTTTTGATGGAGAAAGAACACAGCCCAACAGTGGCTCCTTCCAAAGAGATCCACTTCAAAAATTCTCTCAAGCTGAACTTTCTCCAACCTCTTATATTTTCAGTTACCTCAGCAGAAGCTCTCATTTTAACAAGTGGCTCTCAGCATTCAAATAACATCAATCTTTTAATATTGGAGGCATATAGAATAAGGAAGATCCTCTTAAGCAATTTCAACTTATTTTTTGTTGTTCTGGCTTATATTCTCTATCTTTGATCAGAAGTTTACTCAACAAATTAAAGAGGCTCATAGAATGTTGAAGCAATTATCTAATTCAATCTGCTCGTTTTATAGGGGAGGGATATGCAGTTCTGCCAGAATTATCACAAAATATGCAATCTAATTTATAGGGGCAAATCACTGAGTATCTACTGTATTAATATTGAAGAAAGATTAAGAACATGTTTAGGCATTCTAAGAAAGCAGGACTGGTTTCCATTTAATACCACATATCTCACTCTGTTGGACACTGCCTAGTGACACTTGCTATATATGGCAGCTCTGTGGTGTCACTTTACAAGTCCCATGGCAGCTCCCTGGCTTCTGCTCCTCTAGCCCTCCCAATGATTGCGTAAACAAGCCCTATTTCTCTTTTTATATCTATTTTTTACTTAAATAGAGTGGTTTCTGCTCTCTGCACTAAATCACAAGTGATCTGCTTATAAATCATAACATAAAATCTTAAAGATGGAAGGGATCTTCTCTGAGGCATCAATTCAATAATCAGCAAGCCCCAACCATCTACTAACTAAAGATTTCCATGTTTCATCTCTATTATCCATTCCCCTGACACTGCTCTAATTTAGGTGCTCACCATCTGTGGCATGGACTACTGAAATAACCTCCTTTTTGGTATCTGGTTCAGGTTACTGTTCACTCTAGGCTCCATGTGAATCTGATCTTGTTACTTCCTTGTTCAAAATTATCAGCATAGCCTAGAGGATGGTATTCAAATACTTGAGTTGGTACTTCAATATCCTTCATAATATGTCCTGCATGTTTGACTCATCTTCTCTTCCCATCATTTTATGGTCCAATAACACTGACTAATTGTAGCTCACTGTATCAGCTTCACTTACTTTTCTGTGCTTTTGGACAAATATACTTCCTGTCTGCCTATTGTGTTCTCCTTGCCATTTGTCCACCTGGTAACATCTATTCTTCCTTCAAAATGCAGCATTTCTCACTTCCTCCCAAAGCCTCTCTTATTCCCAAGTGGACTTAGGTGTTCCTCCCTGTGTTCTGGCACCACCAAAAAAAAAAAAACCTACTGCCACCGAGTTCATTCCAACTCATAGCTACCCTATAGGAAGAATAGAACTGCCTCATAGAGTTTCCGAGGCTGTAATCTTAATGGAATTACATCTTTATGGAAGCAGACTGCCACATCTTTCTCCTGTGGAGCAGCTGGTGGGTTTGAACTGCTGACATTTTAGTTAATAGCCAAGAACTTTAACCACTGTGCCACTAGGGTTCCTTCTGGCACTACACTGACTCATATTTCCATCATGACACTTCTCATCTTCTCTCCCCATTATACTATATGTTTCTGGGTAGAAGGTACTATGTCTTCTCATCTGTGAACCTCAAGAGACTACCATAATGCTTGACATACAGTTGGCACTCAGCAAAGTGGAAGAAACCAAGGAAGGGAGAGAGGAAGAAAGAAAAGGAGGGAGGAAACAGATGCAGGATAGGCAGATATAGAAGTGAGAGGGAGCCAGAGACAAGGCTCAGTGACTTCACAATTCTGTTGTTTGAATTTTCTAGTTTTACAAGCTCATCATCTCTAAGATTAGCCTCAGCTCTTCAAATCATTAACAACCTGTAATACACAGATAACACAACCTTGCTTGCTGAAAGTGAGGAGGACTTGAAACACTGATGAAGCTCAAAGACTACAGTCTTCAGCATGGGTTATACCTCAACATAAAGAAAACAAAAATCCTCACAACTGGAGCAGTAAACGACATCATGATAAATGGAGAAAATATTGAAGTTATCAAGGATTTCATTTTATTTGGATCCACAATCAACGTCCATGGAAGCAGCAGTCAGGGAATCAAATGACGTATTTCATTGGGCAAATCTGCTGCAAAAGACCTCTTTAAAGTGTTAAAAAGCAAAGACGCCACTTTCAGGACTCAGGTGTCCCTGACCCAGGTCATGTGTCTTAGTTATCTAGTGCTGCTATAACAGAAATACCAGAAGTGGATGGCTTTAACAAAGAGAAACTTATTCTCTCACAGTTTAAGAGTCGAGAAGTCCAAATTCAGCGTGTCAGCTCCAGCGGAAGGCTTTCTCTCTGTCAGCTCTGGAGAAAAGTCCTTATCATCAATCTTCCCCTAGACTAGGAGCTTCTCAGCACAGAGACCCTGGGTCCAATGGACGTGCTCCTCTCCTGGTTCTTCATTCTTGGTGGCAGGAGGTCCCCAGGTCTCTCTGCTTCTCTCTTTTATATTTCAAAAGAAAATGACTCAAGATACAATCTAATCTTGTAGATTGAGTCCTGCTTCATTAACATAACTGCCTCTAATCATGCTTCATTAACATCATAGAGGTAGGATTTACAACACATAGGAAAATCACATCAGATGACAAAATGGTGGACAATCACACACTACTGGGAATCATGGCTTAGCTGAATTGACACACATTTTTGGGGGACACAATTCAATCCATAACACTGTGATATTTTCAATCACCTCAAATGCATGCAAAAGCTGGACAATGAATAAGGAAGACTGAAGAAGAATTGATGGCTTTGAATTATGGTGTTAGCAAAGAATATTGATATATACCATGGACTGCCAGAAGAACAAACAAATCTGTCTTGGAAGAAGTAGAGGCAGAATGCTCCCTAGAAGCAAGGATAGTGAGACTAAGGCTAAGTCCTAGGTATTCTGGAGATGTTATCAGGAGGGACTAGTCTCTGAAAGAGGACATCATGCTTGGTAAAGCAGAGGTTCAGCGTAAAAGAGGAAGACCCTCAACAAGATGAGCTGACACAGTGGCTGCAACAAAGGGCTCAAACATAGCAACAATTGTGAGGAAGTGCAGGACCAGGCAGTGCTCCCTTCTGTTGTACAGAGGATTAGTATGAGTTGGAACCTACTGAATGGCACCTAACAACAACAGCTTCGAATCAAGTTCTCCTAAGTTTTCAGAAAACTGAACTGTTTTTACTGTTGGCAAAACAAAACCTTTCATTACAGTCCAGGTGCATAGCCTTATTTATATATTCTATAGTTCCAAAGCAAAAATAAACAAAAGAATCATTGCTCTCTTAATCTCCCAGAGGTTTTACCTTACAGGTCCAATGACCATATCAATCACTGTTTTATTCTTTGGAAGCAGAAACAGGCACCTCATGCTTGCCCTTTCCCCATCCCTTTCCTCTTCTGCTCCCCCACCCCCTTTCCTGTTCATCTCCTATCCCTATCATACTCAGTCCTTCTGATCAGATTTTACCAGGGCTCTACATCATTAAAAAGATGAGAAAAAGGGAATTTTTACTTTAAGAGTAATAACTCCTCCCCCTTCCAGAGTTTTGACTTCAAGACATTGTTAAAAGCCATGCTCTTCTACATTTAGAGAACTGTTAGTTCTCTGGGGAGAGGAAGGCAGGTGATTAAGAGGTAAGGCCGCTGAGAGTCAAGCATTCAAAGTAACTAGGGAAAATCTAGTACAGTAGATTTCAGAAAGAAGGCTTGAGTTCTCATTCTGACTCCTTTACTTAATTGTTACCTCTGAGACCTTGAAGAAATAATTTCTAATCTCAGAATGTCAATTGCTTCATTTGCAATTGAGCACATGAGATTGATGATTCAAGATTCTTCCAGCTCTAGCATTCACTGACTGTGTCATTTTTGGCATCTTGAATAATCAGGAGAAGAAATCGGATTTAGTATCTTATTAGAGGAAAAGTGATTTAAAAAAAAAAAAAGAGCATAGATTGTTAATGTGCATCTGTCTTTCCGTGTTAGGGGACAATCCTTCTACATAAACCTCAGCTAGTTATTTCTACTGAAAACCCCTAAGTATTAAGGGACCCTCTCCTGAAGCAGTTCTCTCCAGGTCCTCCCACAGGTGACCATGGGGAAGAGAGTGGCCATCATCGGAGCTGGTGTCAGTGGCCTGGCCTCCATACGGTGTTGTCTGGAAGAGGGGCTGGAGCCCACCTGCTTTGAGAGGAGCAGTGATATTGGAGGACTGTGGAAGTTCTCGGTGAGTGGCTTACCACTGGGACATCAATGGAAGGAAGGTGGGTTCCATTGCAAATCAAATCCGATCAACTCTAACTCCTGGCTTTGGAATCAAAATACTCCAGACCTGGTAGGTAAAATCGTACCTATCCCCTCACACTAAGATCTGATCACTCAAAACTATTTTATATCAGGGCTCATCCTGAAAAGAGCATCTCCAGCTCATTAAACATTGTCACCTGCACACACAGCCCAGCTCTCCAGGCTGTAAAAGGTGCTAATGTCAGTAGTTAACCAAACCTGACCATCACCTTCGCATGTAACTGAAAAGACTATCCCTTATTGCTCTTAAATCCTAGGAACATGGTAGAAGGTCCTGGACAGGAGTTAGAAGTCCTGAGTTCTAGTCTCAACTCTTATGTTCTCTAGGCAGGTAGATTTTAGGCAAGTCACTTTCTCTTTCTGGGCCTCAAATACTTGCTCGCCAAATGTAGAGGTTGAAAATTGGGTGACCTCTAATGCACCTTCCAGTTCTAACAGGTTATGATTTTTTAATTAACTCATATCTACTGGGTAGACATTATAAATTACTGTGAATGATTATTGTGTGTCTTTGTATATTGAATGGTCTGTCATCACCTGGTATGATGACAAATATAGAGAGAAAAGTGATAGTCATTCAGGCTCATTGCTGTATAAATGATATAATTAGGAAATATTAATCACAAACACAAATTTTAAAATTCCAAAGGCCAGGTGTTAGGAAACTTCTAGCCTTTCTGTTCTAAATTTCTCAGTCATTCTGAGTGGGTGTAGAAGACATATATTGGTTTGAAGACATTATATTCACATCATTCATCTTGTAACTACATTCTGCTCTGGTCTCAGTTGTTGCCCAACTGCAACAACAGATTGCTCCAATAGAGTGCATCAGGGCTAACTGAGAGCACATTTGTCATCATCACATGAGCTTTAATGTTTTGACCTGTAAACCCAAAAGTGTTATATGAGATACAAGATCAACTATTTTTTATTTTGCTTTGGAGAGTAATCAAAAGTTCATTTTTTTTAAGAACTCAATTTTCTTTATTTACATTTCTGGCTCAGGGAGATATGACCAGCCTAGACTAAATCATGAAATGGCTGTTTATTATTTCGTTGTTGTTATTGTATGTCGTCGAGCCAATCTCGGCTCATAGCAACCCTATGGGACAGAGTAGAAGTCTCTGATGGAGTTTCCTAGACTGTAACCTTTATGGGAGCAGATCGCCAGATCTTTTCTTCCAAGGAGCTGCTGGTGGATTTGAATACCTGATCTTTCAGTTAGCAGCTGAGAGCTTAACCATTGTGCCATCAGGGCTCCTCAGCAACAATTAAATGCTGTTTGAGAACCTTTTCTGGCAGAGTTCTGTGCTAGATCCTGGAATGACAAATATGCAACATAATCACTCTGTATAAATGGTTTCCACTGTATTTGTTAAAGCAAGTCATAATATAGGTCCACAATTCCTTGACGGCAAATGAGCAAAAACCCATTTGATAGCACAACCTGTCCTGAAGTCATAGGGTCACAAAATATGAGTTGACTTGACATGAGGCTATTCATACCCTTTATTTGTCCCACTCAGTGTTTCACTGAAGACATTTTATTGCATTTGACTACAGGGAGCTGTCCCAGACCTCACTAGGAGCATTACAGAGCAAAATCCAAATGTACAAATTCCAAAATACATTTGGCCCCAAGAGTTTCCAATAGGAGATTATAGAACTTTACAACAACAAGACAGCCCTTCTGACTGTCAGCTCAGTGGCATGGACAAGCACCTTGAGATTTTATAGGAGGGTGGACCATTGAAACTTTAGCATGTCAAGAGGAACTTTCTGCAAGATTGCACCTAGTCAAGCCCTGAAGGATGTTCTTAGATAAGGAAAGTGGAGGGGAAGCAGGACCACTGTGTGACACACCTCCAGAGAGTCCCACTCCATCGTAGTCTGTGAATGGCACCCCATAGACTTGTGTAGCCACAGGCAGCGTGGCAGTGCCAGGTGGCCTACGGGGGAGGGGTTTCTAGGAAGGAATGATCAGCAATTGAAGAAAGACATAAAGGCAGCAATGAGCATGATGTATCCAGGGATCCTGAGTTAACCAGTGTAGCCAGATCAGAGAGCTTACTTAGGGAAGCAGTAGATGACAGATAGAATGAGACACAAGATCACCCTCTGGTTTGTCCACAAGAGAGAACCTCTCTTTTCCACAAGGTCATGGTGTATAAGCAGAACTCTACTCAAAGACTCAGTGGAGATGCGAACACGTACAAATATTCTAAACGTTAGCCCCTTGCACACACCCCCATACTTTTTTTCTTTTCTAAGAAAATTTATGTGGAAAAGGATTTTTGAAAAATGTGTCACATAAGCTTTCAACTTGCAGGTCTCTGTTAGGTAGAAGGTGTTCCAGAAGAAACCTGATCATTCTAAACTTTTCACCATGGGCTTTTTCTGAGAAATGAAAGACAAATGGGGCTTAACACCAGTAAGTTGAATGTTAACATGTTCTACATTTCGTATACTCCTACAGAGTGCCTCACATCCTCAAAAGATTTTATTGCTGCTGGAGTAAAAGATTGGATAACAAACCGTGTACGATAGGTCTATATCATTTTGATTACAAAAAAAAAATATATGAAACCAGAGCTATCTGGACTTTATTTCTACTCATCCATTCACTTACTCATTCAAAAAATACATAATGAGTATAGAACGTGTAGGGTACTGTGTTACGCATAGCTGCAGATAAGAGGTACAGCAGGCAGCCACATTTTAAAAGCAGAGATAAAACAAATATTAGAATAACTCTAATACAAGTGAGAATGTTCAATCCCTAGAAAAGGACATCATGTTTGGTAAAGTAGCGGGTCAGCAAAAATGAGGGTAACCCAGAAGAACTAGATGGTGCCCAGGTACCACCAATGACCACCCTGACAGGGAACACAGCAGAGAGTCCCAGATGGAGCAGGAGAAAGTGGGGTACAGAACTCAAATTCTAGTAAGAAGACCAGACTTAATGGTCTGTCTGAGACTGGAGGAACCCAGGATTCTCTATCAGCCCAGAACTAAAACAATTTCTGAGGCCAACTTTTCAGACAGGGATTGGACTGAACTGTGGGACATAAAGTGATACTCGTGAGGAGTGTGTCTCTTAGCTCAAGCAGATACAAGAGACTAAATGGGCAGCTTCTGTCCGGAGGTGAGATGGGAAGGCAGAGAGGGTTAGAAGCTGGTTGAATGGACATGGGGAATCAGGGGTGGAAAGGAGGCGTGTGCTGTCACAGTATGGGGAGAGCAATTAGAATCACATAACAGTGTATGTATACATTTTTGTATGGGAAAAAATAAAAAAAAAAAAATGAGGGAAACCCTCAATGACATGGATTGACACAGTAGCCACTGCAATGGACTCAAACATACCAACAATCATGAAGATGGCTCAGAACCAGGCAATATTTCATTCTGTTATACATAAGGTCATCATGAGTTGAAGCCAGCCAGATGGCAGCTAACAACAACAAAGTGAATATGAGTTAGGGCTGTAAAGACAACCAGGAGTTTAGTGGAAGTAGAAATGAATTGCAATTAGTGAGAGGGATCAAGGGCAAGGAAAGGCATGATAAAGGAGGTGACTTTTGAGCTGGGCCTTGAAGGTATTTTAGGGTAAAAACATCACAAAGTTTAGTAAAGCAAAAAGACAGGTTTTGTTCAGCATGTATTCAAAGAGGCAAGAGTAGGAAACGAATAAGCACGCTGCCAGAGCCATGTCTGTCCAAGTCCAAGGGAGTTACAGAATCATCGGTATATATTAACATTACAAACGGGCAAAACCATTGAAACCTTCACCTTTTCAGATTGGCTAAAAACTTATTCTGCATTTTGAATTGTCTTTCTTAATAACATTGGTACAAGTTTCAGTAACGATAGACAGGAGAGTCTTCATTGGTCCAACAAATCTTACTATTCACTAAATGCTAATAGAAAAAGATTAAGAGTGGAAAATATGTGGGTCTTTTGTACTGTGTTATTAGTTTATGTGAAAGATTCCCTAAAAGATGTTTTCAAAGATTGTCCTCGCTACTATCTTTATAACTCAGGGTCCAGTTGATGTGTCCTTGTGAGTCCTTCAGAGTCCAGCTACAGCTGGGTCATATTTTAAGACAGAGAATAATGATTCGAATATTATCTCCTAAATTAAAGGTGATATTTAGACAAGCAGAAATGAGACTGACAAGCAGAGATGGGATATAAAAGAAGATCAAGACAGGCCTCTAATGTGTGTTAAAAATAATCAAAACTCACTGGAATTTGAACACAAGGTTTATTCTGAGCAGTTATTCTACATGCATATGGGAAGGCCATTTTGATTCTAGAAAAAGCAAATGACTGGAAGAAGCTTGGTACAGTGGGGCTTATAAATGACAGAGGAGGGGGAAATATAGAAGTCCAACCATTGGACTAACCTTAACATGACTGATTGAACCCTGCCTTCCCCTTTTACTGAGATCAACTGATATCAGGTTACTTCTGGCCTGGCTGCTAATAATCTGGCCCACCACTCCCCTGCAGCCAAGAGACTTTTTTGAAATTTAAATTAGGAGGTAATGGTTTGTCCACTCTCCTTTTCTAGCTGGATAAGACAAATGTGCATTGCTATAGAGCAGTTTCTGGCAGGCTTTTGCTGTTTGGGGCAGGTTATTTAAGGTTAATATTTGGTTTTGTGGATAAGAAAAACCTTAAAATCAAAGTAAGATGTCTGTTATTAATTTTTCTATTCAGCAGGTGCTACATGATATTCTAGAATTAGCCCCTGACCTTGTCCTCAAGTTGCTTATGTTCTAGTGGGGAAGATGAAAGGTGAACACTTATAATAAAAGATAGCTGGTTATAACATGGAGCCCTGGTGGCACAGTGGTTAAGAGTTACGGCTGCTGACCAAAAACAGAGCAGTTTGAATCCACCAGCTGCTCCTTGGAGACCCTATTGGGGCAGTTCTACTCTGTCCTATAGGATGGCTATGAGTCGGACTCGATAGCAGTGAGTTTGGGTTTGGTTATAGCATGCCCACAACTGTTTGATCTCTTGTTCTAGGGCAAGTTCTCTCTGCCAGAGGCAGAGTCTGAGCTTAATTTCCTCCTTACTGGCTCCGCCCACTCTACGTGTTGAACAAATGAAAATGGAGCAACTGCCAGTTGTTATGTAACACATTTGTTTTCCTTTGTTTGGAGAACAGTCTTTTAGGGAAAATTCCAAGGAGCTGTAAAGCACATGCTGCTGTCTCCTCCTGTTATGACTTGGCTGGGGTCAAGAGACAAAAGAGCAGAGATTCTTTAAAGATGGAAATAATCCAAGGTTTTATCACCTCCATTTTCCAGAGCTGAGTCTTACATTCTTTAGCCAGTCCCAGCCCGCAGCTCATCCACTCCCTCCAGTCCACAGGCAGCTGAGAAACTTCCTCTCCATCTCTCAAACCCAAGCAAAAGGTACCTGCTACGGGTGAACAGAAAAGGCTCAGACCTGAGAACCTGCCGAGGGTGAGCCTTCACTCTTCTTCTGACCTGAACAGAAATTTCAAAATGGAGCTAAAAAAAGGTTAAAACCCCCAAGATTCACTTCTTAAGAGAAATACAGCAACCGTGAGTAGAAGAGAATCTATTTTCAACTGGAGAAGCAATGAAGCCTCAAAGCAAACCCCAGAGACGCAATCCTCTCAATCAACTTGCAAGTCCCAGCACTTCTGTCTCCCTCTTCCAGAGATCAGTGGGGGTGGGAAGGAGACAGAGGATTTGAATCCAGGCTGCCATTCCATCCTTTCCTCCATTTCACAAAGTTCCTTCAGGACTTGGGGAAGCAGATGCTGCCAGCTTTTGAATGTATTTTCAAGGCAGCACATTGTGTGAACTTTTATCCTATCCTTGTAATAGAGAGGAAATGTTTGTGTACAATTTAGCCTTCAGCTGCTTCTCAAAAAGAAACCACTACTCAATTACACAGTGACCTTAAAATGACATGTTCTAAGGCCCCCAGTTACCTGTGCTTCTTTGGTGAGGAGTGAATACCACTAGCTGTGAGCTAAGAAACTCCTCACATACAGAATTCGTGTACAATAGAGTAGAGGTTCTCAAAGTGTGGTTCCAGGACCAGCAGCATCAGCATCCGGAACCTACTGAGTCAGGAATCTGGATTGGGCCCAGGAAGGTCTAACAAGCCTTCCAGGTGATTCTGACTACACCAAAGTTGGGAAATCACTTCAATAAAGGGTTCTCTTGCTGCTGAAGAAAGTGTTCACTGAACTCTATATAAAACCTATTGTTGTCAAGTCGATTCCAACTCACAGCAACCCTATAGGACAGGGCAGAGCTGCCCCCTGTAAGGTTTCCAAGGCTGTAAACTTTACAGAAGCAGACTGCCACATCTTTCTCCCAGAGCGGCTGGTGGGTTTGAACTGCCAACCTTTCGGTTAGCAGCTGAGTGCTTAACCACTGTGTTACTGGGTGGAAGCCCCAGGTTCTTGGTCAGCATGACTCATATTGGCCAATAAACGAGAGACCTAGGTGGGAGAACAGGAAAGGCACATTTATTTTGTTGTACAACAAAAAGGAGTCAGTTGGAGCTGCTGCTGTCAAGACTGCTCCCCAAGAGCAGGCAGACAAGTTACTTTTAAAGGAGTTTACAAGTAGGGGGTTCATACAAGTTATAACAACAACATTCTTAATCATACTACGTAGGCACAATGGGGTTTACATATAACCTCCAGGCAAAAGCAGGATTCAAATGCAAAGCTGGGTTGGGGAGGAAGCCCAGCAAAGGAAACAGGATTTTTAATACAATACTGTGGGGGAGGAAGCCAGGTAAAAAAACATGATTTTTAATACAGCACTGTGAGGGATCTGTCTCAACTGTACCACCAGGGATCCTGTAAACTCTATATAGCAAATCAAATAGGCAGAAAGTCACAGCCTCCGCTGGTCCCTTTTGTTGTGTTTTTTTAACATGAGTATAAAATCCAAATCAGTGCCAGTGATAGAAAAAAGAAAGAAAAATTTAAGTGATTATAAAAACAGAGCTAATACTGGGGTAAGATCCCTAAGTGATGTAAATGGTTTGTGCTCAACCGTTAACCTGAAGGGTGGCAGTTCATACTCACCCAGAGGAACTGTGGAAGAAAAGGCCTGGCAATCTGCTTTCATTAAGATTACAGCCAAGAAAACCCTAGGAAGCAGTTCTACTCTGTAACACATGGGTTCACTATGAGTCAGAATTGAATCTATGGCTGTTGTAGGGGAAGAATATCACAGAGTTTAGTAAAGCAAAAAGAAAGTTTTATTTGGCATATATTCAAAAAGGCAAAAGTGGGAAATGGACAAGCATGCTGCCAGAGCCATGTCTGCCCAGGTCCAAAGACCATTACAGAGTCATCAGTATACGTTAACATTACAAATGGACAAAACCATTGAAAGCTTCACCTTTTCACAGATTGGCTAGCAACTGTGATCCTACATTTTGAATTGTCTTTCTTAACAACTTAACAGGTTTCAGTAACAACAGTCAGGAGGGTCTTCATTGGTCCAACAAATTTCTATTCACTAATAGAAAAAGATAAGAGTAGAAAGTCTTTTGTGTTCTGTTTGATTGGCTTAATGTGAAAGTTTCCCTAAAAGATATTTTCCAAGATTATCTTAGCTATTGTCTTTATACCTCAGGGCCCAGTTGATGTGTCCTTGTGAGCCTTTGTGAGCCCAGCTCCAGCTGGGTCACATTCTCTATGCTCAAGGACAGGGAATAATAACTCCAATATTATTTCCTAAATCATGACAAAAACAAAAACATTGAGGGGAATTAGAGTAAGAGGACTAATGTGGAAAGAGCTTTCTAGCTCTGTGTTAGGTGCTGTGCTAAAGGCTTTCCATTTCATAACTTACAGAAGGCTTGCAATTTTTTTTCTTTTTTTTAATATTAGAAGTTTCCAGTCAACCAAGAATTGAATATTCATTGAAGGGACCACCATTTGGGGTTTCCTTTTAAAGCTTTGTTATTCTTCTTAGGACCACACAGAAGAAGGTAGAGCCAGCATTTACCAGTCTGTGTTCACCAACTCTTCCAAAGAAATGATGTGCTTTCCAGATTTTCCTTACCCTGATGACTATCCTAACTATATACACCACAGCAAGATCCAGGAGTACATAAAGACATTTGCTCAAAAGAAGAATCTTCTCAGATACATAGAGTTTGAGGTAAGTACCTCATAAATGGTGTCATTGCTATCAGTATGTGTATGAGTTAGAGGAGAGGTAAGGATACAGCACCCTGACAGAAATCAAAGCCAAAAGTTTGGATACCTCACTAATCATATATGAGTTCAAATTATAAAGTATTCATGCACTACTTTTTTCCCCCTGAATTTGTTCTCCACTAGTCTCAGAGAGCTTTTACAATACTCTCTAAAATACTGGAGGCAGCTATACCATCATAGTGTACTTCCCAGCCACATGCTCTAATGTTCTAGAAACAATCTGATTCTCTAGTTCTGTGGATTCAGTGCCAATGAGTTGTGGTTCAAGAAAACATGGTATTTGTTAAAAAAATTCTGCCATTATTAAGAGAATAACAATTTAATTGAATGATTAATATAGTCATGGCCCTCATCTTTCACACACTTAGTTTATTAGATTTCCCCTTATAGAGCTGTAAGTATGGCATGGAGGCAGCATTTGACCTCCTCTAACTTCAGGAGGGGGAGAGAGAATCATTATCAGCATCAATAGCCCAAAGTTGATTCTTATGAGGCAGAGGTCAGACATACCTCCACCCTCCAAACACCCCTCCCAAGGTACTCCGTACTTCTCTGCTGCGTTCAATCATTCTTTGCAAAGGCCACACAGAACTCACAGTTATGGGGTTTATTAGGGAAGTAACAGGTTACAATTCAGATTTAGCATGCTCAGGATACAGTTCTTGGATCAGGACAGCCCCTTCTCAGCCATGCTGCAGTCAGGCCTCTCTCTGGTCCTCACCTCCCCAAAGGGCCTCTTGGGCCAGCCTGGCCTCTGCCCCGCTCAGGCAAGTGTTACGAAGCTCTTATTCGTCTGCCTATAAGTGCCCAGAAGCACCCCACTCTGCCAGTAAGCCTTCCATCCAAAGGCACTCAGGTTTCTCGCTCCATGGGCATGGAAGCTCACGGCATCGTCTCCTGCCAGTCTTCTGGTTCTGCTGCCTCTGCTTCCACCATGTCTCTGCCACTGCTTCCTGCCGTCTTGCCATCTTGCCATCTTCAATGTTACAGCTCTCTTTCTCTATATCCTGGGACAAGGAGGGTCTCAGCTCAGTGATCTCAGGTGCAAAGGACCTGCTCCACTCCCATCTTTTCTTCTTGGTGTTAGTCAGGTCCCCTCTCTGCTCTGGAATTGGCTCTCTCTTAAGCCTAGCAGGATGGAAAAGCTGCCCGATACCCTTATTAGGGTTCCATGTTCCTTATTTACATGGTCCCACCCCCCACAAATGTGCCATGCACCTTATTTACATTATGAGCAGGTTATCCAATCCCCTTGGTGGGTCACAAGCCATCATTTGCATACTCCTACCCAGCCTTTCCTCCACAAGTGTGTCAGTTTGTCCTATTGTGGTGGCTTGCATGTTGCTGTGATACTAGAAGATTTGCCACCAGTATTTCAAATACCAGCAGTGTCACCTTTGGTGGACAGTTTTTAGCAGAGCTTTCAGACTAAGACAGACTAGGAAGAAAGGCCTGGCAGTCTACTTCTGAAAAAATTGGCCAGTGAAAACCTTATGAATAGCAGCAGCATATTAATGATATAGGGCCGGAAGATGAGCCCCGCAGGTTGGAAGGCACTCGAAATACGACTGGGGAAGAGCTGCCTCCTCAAGGTAGGCTCACCCTTAATGATGTGCATGGAGCCAAGATTTCAGGACTTTTATTTGCTGATGTGGCACAATTCAAAGTGAGAAGAAACAGCTGCAAACATCCATTAATAATTGGAACATGGAATGTATGAAGTATGAATCTAGGAAAACTAAAAGTCATCAAAAATGAAATAGAACACATAAACATTGATATCCTAGGCATTAATGAGCTGAAATGGTTTGGTACTGGTCATTTTGAATCGGACAATCATATGGTCTACTATGCCAGGAATGACAACTTGAAGAGGAATGGCATCGCAGTCATTGTCAAAAAGAACATTTCAAGATCTATCCTGAAGTACAATGCTATCAGTGATAGGATAATATCAATAAGCCTACAAGGAAGACCAGTTAAGAAGACTATTATTCAAATTTGCGCTCCAACCACTAATGCCAAAGATGAAGAAATTGAAGATTTTTACCAATTTCTGCAGTCTGAAATTGATCAAACATGCAATCAAGACACATTGATAATTACTGGATTTGGAATGCAAACTTTGGAAAGAAAGAAGAAGGATTGGTAGTTGGAAAACATGCCGTTTATGACAGAAAAGACACCAGAGATTTCATGAAAGAACTCTGCAACACCAACGACTTCATCGCAAATACCTTTTTTCACCAACGTAAACGGCAACTATACATGTGGACCTCACCAGATGGCATACACAGAAATCAAATATACTACATTTGTGGAAAGAGACAATGGACAAGCTCCATATCATCAGTCAGAACAAGGCCAGGGGTCGACTGTGGAACAGACCATCAATTACTCATATACAAGTTCAAGCTGAAGTTGAAAAAAATTAGAACAAGTCCACAAGAGCCAAAGTACGAACTTAAGTGTATCCCATTTGAATTTAGAGACACTCTCAAGAATAGATTTCACACATTGATCACTAATGACTGAAGATGAGATGAGTTGTGGAATAACATCAAGGACATCATACATGAAGAGAGCAAAAGGTCATTAAAAAGACAGGAAAGAAAGAAAAGACTAAAATGGATGTCAGGAGAGACTATGAAACTTGCTCTTAAACGTAGAGTAGCTAAAGCAAAAAAGGAAGAAATGATGAAGTAAAAGGGCTGAACAGAAGAATTTCAAAGCTCAGCTTAAGAAGACAAAGTAAAGTACTATAATGACATATGCAAAGACCTGGAGTTAGAAAACCAAAAGGGAAAAACATGCTCGGTGTTTCTCAAGCTGAAAAAACTGAAGAAAAAATTCAAGCCTTGAGTTAGTTGCAATACTGAAGGATTCTATGGGGAAAATATTAAACGACACAAGAAGCACCAAAAGCAGATGGAAAGAATACACAGAGTCACTGTACCAAAAAGAACTGGTAAATGTTCAACCATTTCAGGAGGTAGCATATGATCAAGAACCGATGGTACTTAAGGAAGAGGTCCAAGCTGCTCTGAAGGCATTGGCGGAAAACAAGACTCCAGGAATTGATGGAATACAAACTGAGATGTTTCAACAAATGGATGCAGCACTGGAGGTGCTCACTAGTCTATGCCAAGAAATTTGGAAGACAGCTACCAGGCCAACCAACTGGAAGAGATCCATATTGGTACCCATTCCAAAGAAAGGTGATCCAACAGAATGTGGAAATTATCAAGCAATATCATTAATACCACATGCAAGTAAAATTTTGCTGAAGATCATTCAAAAGCGGTTACAGCAGTACATCGACAAGGAACTGCCAGAAATTCAAGCCAGATTCAGAAGAGGATGTGGAACAAGGGATATCATTGTTGATGTCAGATGGATCACGGCTGAAAGCAGGGAATACCAGAAAGATATTTACCTGTGTCTTATTGACCATGCAAAGGCATTGGACTGCGTGGATCATAACACCTTATGGATAACATTGCAAAGAATTCCAGAGCACTTAATTGTGCTCATGAGGAACCTGTACATAGATCAACAGGCAGTCGTCCACACAGAAAAAGGGGATACTGCGTAGTTTAAAGTCAAGAAAGGTGTGAGTCAGGGTTGTATCCTTTCACCATACTTATTCAATCTGTATGCTGAGCAAATAGTCTGAGAAGCTGGACTATATGAAGAAGAATGAGGCATCAGAGTTGGAGGAAGACTCATCAACAAACTGCAATATGTAAATGACACAACCTCGCTTGCTGAAAGTGAAGAGGACTTGACGCACTTACTGATGAAGATCAAAGACCACAGCCCTCAGTATGGATTATACCTCAACATAAGGAAAACAAAAATCCTCATAACTGAACCAATAAGCAACATCATGATAAATGGAGAAAAGATTG